GCAGAGTTGAGACTCAAACTGAGACACTTCAGTATTAGATGTGGGTGTCTAGCTGCTCTGACCTGCCCTGAGAATGGTGCTCTGACATGAGAATGGTGTTTAGAAAGGCTCAGATACTGTGGTGCTTATTGCTGATATTACTTCTCCTAGAAACTGTCAGTAGACAGAACTTGAAAACATATGTGGACACACACACATACACCTTTATACTTCTACAACCAAAAAACACAATACTAAACTGATGCTAATCACTAATTCCAGTACAACCCTACAGGAACCATTCCAGCTTAACCTGGAAAATGAAATTAAAAGACAACTTTATTATAGTATGGAAAAATTAAAATATATTCATCCACTTTTTATTTCTCTTGTTTATTTAAGTCGGGTTTACAAAAAGAAGGAGACACAAAGAGATCTTTCATCTCCTGGTTCACTCCCCAAGTGGCTGCAACAGCTGGAGCTGAGTCTACTCGAAGCCAGGAGCCAGGAGTCTCTTCTGGGTCTCCTACACAGGTTCAGGGTCACAAAGCCCTGGGTCATCCTTATTGCCTTCCCAGGCCACAACCAGGGAGTTGGATGTGAAGTGGAGCAGCCAGGATACAAACCAGTGCCCATGTGAGATCCCAGCACATGCTGGGGGAGGATTTAGCTAATAGGCTATGACACTGGGCCCCATATAGGCCCATATAGGTTCAAGGTATGGAGAAAGGTGGGTGGGACAAATGTTTCAGTTCTTTCCTTTTTATTCTCCTGATCTGTTGTGGGCAGGGGAAGTTGTGGGGACAGCTTATTGCTGTCAAACTACTTCAGCACCTGGGAATGGGAGATGGTCATTTCATGAGGCCTTAGAGACCCTGATGTGGGGAAGAGTGTTCTAAGAGTACTCTTGTGTGGCTATGATAGTGCTATAACATTGTCAGCTTTGTTGCATCAAATTCGCGAAAAGTCTTTCCAAGATCTATTGGCTGACCAGCTCCACCTCAGTGTGTATTCACAGTCCCAGATACTTGCTGCAAAACTTGACCAGGAGAATTGTCCAATCTATTCTGCTTTCCATCCTCTGATGAGGCAGCCGATGCCTCCCTGTTGCCTAGGAAGAACTGACTGCCATGTCCCCCATGTGCAACTGGTCATGCTATCCACCAAACAGGCATCAGCAACTGAGGAGGCCCATTCCTGATACATGCACTCCAAGGCTGGATCACATATCTTGTGATTTTCCCTGAGACTGGGATTTAAGTCCAGTGATCTAGTTGAAGCATTCTCCAAGACACATCAACTGGGGTGACCTCAAACTTGACTCTTGCATGTGCAGCCAGTATAGCATCAGGCTTGGTCTGTTACTGCACCAGCCAATGCACATACCAGTGGTGTAGCCTCCTGGTCAGTTCTGCCCCCAGCCCCACCTCTCATGTGAACTTATGGGTGCTGTGGCTTAGCCCAACCCAGTCTGCCACAAGCTGATATTCATGCACATCAAGTGGTGGCACAGTCTAGTTGGGGTAAACCCCAATAGCCCCAACCAGATGTGTTCCCAGCCCCAGTTTCTGCATATGCCAATATATGCTGCAGCTGAGCCCAATCTTTCCCATATCCAATTTGGCTCTCATGCACACCTATGGGTGCTGTGGCAACCTTATTCCACCCTTCCCCCAGACCCAGCCCATACATATGCCAATAGGTATTGCTGCTTTGTCCAGCCTGGCCTACCCTCAGCCCTGGCTTTCATGCTCACTTGTGGGAATTGCAGCCCAGCACAGGAGTACCCACAGTTTCCCTACCAGGTTAACTCGCAACCCCAGATCTTGTGCTTGCCATGGGGTACTGTAGTCCAACCTGACATGACTGGCATCCAATGCTGGCACTTGTCAGCTGGTGCTGCAGCCTAGTCCAGTTGGCCTGCACACACTCTGGCTCTCATATCAGCAGGTGCAGTAACCTGGTCAGGTTGTTGACCTAGCCCAAATGCCAGCTGATAGGTGCTGCCATACTGCTTGGATTGGCCTGCCCCCCCAGTACCAGTTCTCATGCTTACCAGTGGAAGCAGTGGCTCAGCAGAGATATCCCAGAGATTTCCTTCCCAGGCCTATACCCAGCTCTGAGCCTTCCATGTGTCAGTGAGTGCTGCAGCTTGGTCTGAGATGGCCCTTGCTGAGTTTTGGCATTTGCTAGCAGGCTCTATTGCCCAGCTCAGCCCAGCTTGTCCCACATCCCAGCTCTCACTGACAAGTGCAGCAGCCTAGCCTAGCAGCAGTAGCCTAGCTGGCTCACTTCCAGCATCAGTCCTCACATGAACTGACGGGTGTTGCAGTCCAACCCTGGCTGGCCTGCACTGTGAGCTGGCTCTTGCCTGTGCCAGTGTGTGCTGTGGATTGGCCCAGACTTGGCTTGCCCCAGACCTGGCCCACATGTATGCTGATGGTTGCTGCAACCCAACCTAACCTGGTCTTCCCCCTGCCCTGGCTCTTGCATTCACCAGTGGGAGCTTTAGCCTAGCAGGGGAGTTCTCCAGTTTTCCTTACCAGGCCTGTTCCCAGCCCCAGACCTGGCAAGTGCCAGCAGGTATTGTGGCCAGCCTGACATAGCCAGCCCCAAGTCTTGGCACTCATTATGGTCTGAACAAGTTCTGGCTCTTACTAGTGAGTGCGACAGTCCAATCCAGCCTTGTCCACCCCAAAACCTGGCTCTTATATGACCTGGCAGTTGTTACAGCTTAGCCTCACCCATTCTAGCTCTCTGGAACACTTGTGGGTGCTGAAGCCTAGCCCAGTCTGGCCTGTCCCTAGACCCACCCCACACACATGCAGAGGGGTGCTGTTGCCTTGTGCCTTGGTCTACCCACAACTCTGGTTCTCACACTCACCATTGGGAACTACAGCTTAGCAGGGACTCCCCAAATTTCTGCTATCAGACCCAGACCTTGTATGTACTGGTGAGTGCTTTGACCTATCCTGGCATGGCTTACCCACAGTCTCTGCTCTTCCTGGTGGGTGTTGCAGCCTAGCCCAGCTGGGTGTGCCAAACGGTGCTGCAGCCTGGTCTAACCTGGCTTGCTTGCAGACCTGTCTCACATAAATGCTGATGAGTGCTGCAGCCTTAGTTGGCCTGGCCTGCCCCTAGCCCTGGCTTTTTTGCTTCTCAGCAGGAGCTGTAGCCTAGTAGGGGAGTTCTGTAAATTCTCCTACCAGGCCTACTCCCAGTCCCAGATCTTATGCGTGCTTTAGTGGTGCCATGGCCCTGCTTAGCATGGTCTACCTTTGCATGTGCCAGTAGGCACTGCAGCCTGGCCCAGCCTGGTTTCCTCCCAGCCCTGGCTCCCTTAAGTGTCAGGTAAATTCCTGTCAGGTGAGTCCAACCTGGCTTAGCCAGTCATCACCTCCCAGATCTTTAGCAAACTAGTGGGTGCTCCAGTCCCACAGAGGCAGGGCAACAAGTCCCCTCTAGGATCTGCCCCCAGATCTGGTTCTCTCATGTTCTGGCGAGTGTGGTGGCCCAAGCTGATTGTGACCCACCTCCTGTCCTGACACTTACAGTTGGATTCTGTGGCCTAGCTCAACCAGGCATGTCCCTCACCCCCAGCTTTCATATGCACTGGCAGGTGGCAGATGCTGTTACTTGGCCCAGCCCAGGTCTCCCACGTGGGTGGGTGCTTTGACCTGTTTCAGACATGCCCTCCAGTTTTCTCCACTAGCAGGGAGCTGGATGGGACGTGGAGCAGCTTGGATATAAAATGGTGCCCTTGTGGGATCCCAGCGTATGCTATGGCACCGGGCCCGGGAGGTAATGATTCTTAAGCCCAGAATCTGGAAGTGATAGAAGTAGCCAGTTTGGTCTCCAGATGATTCACTAACCGGGGGGGGGGGTCTTTAAAATGCTAAACTGAATAGGTACTTAAACATCAAAAAGAAAAACAGGACCGAAAGAGAGGCAGATTCCGGGTCAGAGTCCCTGGCTTTGGTTTTAAGGGGGGTTTTAATGAGCAGTTCGGAATGTGGGGGAGATTGAGGCAGGGGGTGGGGAGGAGGTGCACGTTTACTCCTGCCTGCCACACCAGCACAATCCGTTTCTGTGAAGCGGTTGGGGTTAAATCCAGAGTCGCTCTGATGACGCACCACTTCTCATCTGATTGGCACTTTCACATATCAAACGGGGATTCTTGCTATCACTTGTCGATGTCCTCGCTTCATGTTTACCCAGTCACAGGTGTGCTCTCTGGAAGTCCAAAGTTCTTTCTGTTCTATTGAGTCTTGGTAGCTGCATCGTTCTGGGGACTTGGGAGCCCAGAAATCCATGTAACCGCTGAGGAGGCACCCCAAGTTTCTACAAACAATGGAGCTATGCCATTGACCAAGGCGCCTCCTCTTTTAGCTACCGCCCACGCAGATAGGCGGTGCCCTCCTCACAAAGGCCCCTTCCCAGTTTTTAAATTACTCTCACAGATGCATTCAGATTCAGCTGCTAGGCTTCTTTATCGCTCAGTCCCATTCCAGGGTGCAGCTCCGCTCCCTTCCTCCTTACATCCACCCCCTGTTCCTCGCAAACTCCTCTATGCTGCGAGTGCAAAACGGGCCCACATGTATGGTGTCCGGAGGTACAAGAAAGTTAAGAGCTCTGAGTAGGACTCACTGGGCAGTCAGCCAAGCTCCAGACCCGGGGTGGGGTTGCTTCTACACACGTACTGCGCACCGCAAAACGCAAAGCCAGCAGCCAGAGTTCTTGCCTTTCTGGGAGCTTCCTCCTAGAGCCGCACCCCGCTGAACTACACAACCAGGTTCTAGGTTGCACCGCCCCTCCTGGGAGCCACCCGGCGGCGCCAGCCCGCGCTTCCGGCCAGCTCCAGGCAGGCCGAACCGGGCCCCGAGCGGGCTCCTCCCCGAGCGGCAGCCGGGCGGCCACTCCCCGCGCGCTGGGCTGGCCAGGCGCCGCTCGCCTCCCGCGCTCCGCGCTCCGCGCCGAGCTCAAGCCTCGCCCCCGGTGCCGCCCTGACGCCCAGCGGCCGCGGGCCCCTCCCAGCCAGGCCTTACTCAGGTCCAGGACGCGCCCCTGCAGCCCGCGGCCGCCGCTGCCCCCGTCACTGGGCCGTCCCTCGCCCACCGCCCCGGGAACCATGCTGCGCTGGCTCCGGGGCTTCGTGCTGCCTGCCGCGGCCTGCCAGAGCGCTGAGCCGCCGACGCGCTACGAGACCCTGTTCCAGGCGCTCGACCGCAATGGGGACGGCGTGGTGGACATCCGCGAGCTGCAGGAGGGGCTCAAGAGCCTGGGCATCCCTCTGGGCCAGGACGCCGAGGAGGTGGGTGCCGCCCGAGCGCTGGCGGCGAGCGGCGCGGGTACTCTGGGGACGCTGCCAGGACCAAGTAGGGCGGCGGCCCCGGGCTTGTTCCCCGAGAACGCGGAACTGCGGTTTCCGCGGGCAGATGGGTTAGGAAACTGGGGGACCCAGGAGCGCGGCCGCTTGCCTGGGACCGGAGTCCCTGGTGCTTTATCGGTCGGCGTCGAGTACTGGAAACACTTTGCCCACGAGCCCTGTGGAGTTTGTAAACCCTCCCCAGCACTTGTTCCTAGCGCACCTCAGTCTCTCCGCCCGCCTTGGAGCTCCCGACTCGTGTGGGACACGGGTTCTGGAAGCAGGCTCCTACTTTGCGGCGCTTCCCCGGGGCTCTGTGCCTCGGGCAAGAGGTTATGGCTTCAGACCTATTGGCAACCCCCGGTCTGTTTGCCCGGCTTCCTGTGGAGGAGGAATGGTGACATTCCACGGTTTAAAGGCTTGCTCCAAGTGCCACCGTTGATCCCCCAGGCTTGACTTGTTGCTGAGCGAGTTCTGAGTCATTTTCCTCTGAGTCATCGGATGAACTTCTGGAGTCCCTTGACTTGAGCTTGCTCAGCTATGTTTTCACTCCTAATGTTCATGCTAGACCTTATTATCCAATCTGACATTCGTTTTGATTGGTACACTCTAACAGAATGATGATAGAATGGATGATAGGAGTTAAGTAACTTCTCTTTTTCTTTACAATTTTTGTTATTCAGTGGAGAAAAAAGAGTGTATACTATTTCTGTGATTCACAAAGAGTTATTTTTATCTGTAGTATGTGTTGCATCCCCTGAGATGGGTCTCTGAACTGCTGGCCAAGGAAGGTGGTCAGGTGTTGCTACTGTTAAGTTTTCACAGAATGTTATTCTAATTTCACCTCCCACTGAGATCATGACCACCGGAGGATGAGAGCTGTTTCACTCACCTGAAAAAGTTTAAGACTGTGGTTTCAAATCCTAACAAAGTTGTGGGCAATTTAGAAATAACTAGAAAAAAACAAAAAAAAACAAAAACCCAAACAAAAAAACCGAAGACCAAACTGAATTTTAAGATTGATTAATTGTAAAGGAAGAGAAAGAAGGGGTGAGCCAACAACAAAGAGATCTTCCATCCATGGTTTATTCCCCAAATGGCTGCAGCTGGTCCAGGGAACGCCATGTAGATGGTGGAGGCCCAAGTACTTGAGCCCTCTGCTGCTGCTTCCCAAGACGTTTTCAGCTGGGAGCTGAATGGGAAGTGGAGCAGCTGGGACTGGTGCTCTGTTTTTTTTTTTTTAAGATTTATTTTTATTATTTTTTTATTGGAAAGGCGGATATTCAGAGAGGAGAGACAGAGAGGAAGATCTTCCGTCCGATGATTCACTCCCCAAGCGAGCACAACGGCCGATGCTATGCTGATCCGAAGCCAGGAGCCTCTTCCGGGTCTCCCATGCGGGTGCAGGGTCCCAAAGCTTTGGGCCGTCCTGGACTGCTTTCCCAGGCCACAGGCAGGGAGCTGGAAGGGAAGCGGGGCTGCTGGGGCTGCTGGGATAGAACCGGCGCCCATATGGGATCCCGGGCGTGCAAGGTGAGGACCTTAACCACTTGCGCCACCGCGCCAGGCCCGGGACTGGTGCTCTGTTACAGGATGTTCACATCAAAAGTGCTGGTTTGTGTCCAGTGTGATGGCTCAATCAGTGCATCTTCCTGCAAGCACCAGAATCCCATCCGGGCACTGGTTCATGTCCCATTTGCTCCACTTCCCGTCCAGCTCCCTGCCTGTGGCCTGGGAGAGCAGTAGAGGATGGCCAAAGCCTTGGGAGCCTGCACCCAGATGAAAGCTCTGGAAGAAGCTCCTGGCTCCTGGCTTTGGATTGGCTCAGCTCTGGCCATTGCTGCTCTCTGGGGAGTGAACCGGCAGACAGAAGATCTATCTCTCCTTCTCTCTGTAAATGTGTCTTTCCAATAATAAATGAAATACTCCTACAACAAAATTTGGAAATGCTGGATTAAAGATGAACATCTTTTTGCATATACTATGAAGCTTGTAGGAAAAAAAGAAAAATTCAGACTGCCTGAATTAAAATATTGGTTGTACTGCTTTATTAATTTGGGCAAATTTCTTTACCTCCCTGTCCTATTTTTCATGTGTAATGGGGTAACAACAATAACACCTGTAGCCCAAAGAGTCTTCAGGTGTCATTGCAAGTTGAATCCCTGTGAAACAAAAGCGAGAAAGAAGGACTAGTTAGGAAGACTCCAAAGCCTCGTCCTTAGAAAGTTTCCTGCAGGTTCATGGAGAGGGACACAGGAAATGTCCTCTGTTGGGGAAGTCCTGTGTGGGCTGCCCTGACTGGCATCCGGGGTGTGTCTCATCACTGGTTGGAGCAGCCCCAGGAAGGTGGGAATTGATCATGGGCGATGTGATGGGTCCAGAGTTCGAAGGTGTGGCACCCCTGCTTTCATGGCAGGTTTTCTGGAAGTGTTGCTGAACCACACAACTCCCTGGCCACTCTTGATCACTCATTGCATTACTCAGAGTGCTTTCTTTGCATAGGTTTGCAGACTGCTTCAGGCTTCCTGGCCACTTTTCCTGAGGGAGTTCAGGGGGACAAACTGCAATCTGTGTTGCTTCAGTTGGTCATAACTGCATTTATGAGTTTCATTCCATTTTAAAGTCAGCCCATCCTCAGCTACATCATCTCTGCAGGTCTTTCTGGTCTCATGCAGACACTCATTCTTGAGCTGTCTAAGCTGCCCGGGCCAGCATTGCTACATCTGCCCATTCACAGTAATTACTGGGCAGGGAAGAATCAATAGACGTTCACCTGAATCCCTGTCATTCCATTCCCATGAGTATTTCTCTGGGCAGCCTTGTCTTCAAATGCTCAAGATCAGTTCACATCTTCCAAGACCATAATTTCTCTTCTTACATATTGGTCCTGGAAGCAAGGAGTTCAGAGTGTCCAGTAGCACCTGCAGCATATTGTTGATTGCAAGTCTTGCTGAGTTCCCTGGTAAGTGACACTGCACAGCTAAGAGCTGTGGAAACAAGAAGCAGAAAGCCCCTCTGTGGGTCACTGAGATTAAATTAAATGACTATGCTGTTACTTCCACCTTTTCAGTGGGGGTCACCTATTGGAATCCTGGTGACATCTTTCATTTTGCACGGTACCATGTCTTGCAAAGTAGTTGCTGTCTTCCAGTGGGATCCCCAGCTGTGTGTTTGGCAGCCATTCCAGTAGTCCATGAGGTTGGCTGCTCTCTGGATGGTATGGTGCTGTGGTTTGAATGTGTCACCCAGAAGTTCTCTGCTGTAAACTCAAACCCCAAATGCATATGCTAATAGTGTTTGGAGGTATGACTCTTGGGTAGTAACTGGGATTCAGTGAGATCCTAAAGGTGAACTATCTGTGATGGCATTGGTGGTTTTTTGAAGTGAAAAGAGACCACACTAGCACACTTTGACTCGCTGAGGGATAATATTGCAGGTAAAGCCTTCACCAGATGCTGAGCAGGTGGCAGCACAAGCCCTTGGATTTACCATTCTCTGGACCGGTGAGCCCAAAAACTTGTGTTCTTCATAGATTATCTGGTCTTGGTGTTGTGTTTTGGCAAGACAAATGGACTGGGATGTGTGGTATGTTATATGGCCAATTAACTTACCGGTCACAGGCCAACTTCTATGCTTTACTTACTGGGAACTGCCCAGGCCATGGGCCACTGCTCCTCAGTAATGTGTATGTTTCTACCTCATGCCATTTCACCTTTCTCGCAAAGTAGGTGATTCCACCCACTGGGAAGATTTTCATTTTCTGTTATTTTTTCAGGGCTACAACTAAATAGCTCTGTTACTGCTGCACAACTGCTATCTCTAATTTTTTTTTTTAATAAACTGGAGTGGAGGGCATGGTAGGAGAAAAAGAGATAGAAAAAAGAGTGCGAGTGAGTGCACTTCCAACTATTGGATCACTTCTCGCCTCAGTTTCCCATAATGACCAAGGCTGGGCCAGGCTGAAGCCTGGAGCTGTAAATGTAAACTCCATTCAGGTCTCCCGTGTTGGTGGCAGCAACCCAGTTACTTCAGCCACCACTGCCTCTGAGGGTCTGTGTGAGCAGGCAGCTGGGGTCGGGGCCAGAGCAGGTGTAATCCAGGTATGGGGTGCAGGCATCTTAACCTCTTGACTGCCTATGCTGCTGTATGGTTTGGTCAGCTCACTGACCCTTTAGTACACCAGGCTGCTGCTTTTTCCATCTCATGTTGAAGGTACTTCAAAAAGTTTGTAGAAAAGTGGAATTAGGAGGTAAGTTTATTTTGGTCCAAGAAATTTTTGGAAATTCATGCAGAGGTTTTATGTAAGATAGGATTGTCATGAATTTTGGAAGATCTTATTTGCATGGATGTAAAAACATTTTTATATACACTATGATTTTGAACACTTTAAGTGTTTATTTTGGCTTCTTGGTGGTTTGCAGACTGAAACATTGTAGCTTCCCTCTCACTCTTCAGAAATCTGGATTTAGGGGCCCAACACCATGGCTCAATTGGGTAATCCTCCCCTTGCAAATGCCAGGATCCCATACAGGAATCAGCTCCTGTCTAGCTGTTACTATCCAGCTCCCTGCTTGTGGCCTGGGAAAACAGGGGAGGATGGACAAAAGCCTTGGCACCCTGCACATGTGTGGATTTGAAAAGACGGCATAAAATGGAAGGGGTGAGATCTCACCCAACAGGATTTTACAGTGATTTTTCTTTACCTTCTCTAGTCTGGCATTGTCTCAGTGGTGTCTCTAATTACCAGGGGAAGATAGGAGGGAACTCAGCTTAGATAAGATGAGGATGTTCCTGGACCTAAGTTCATGGCCACTGGCTTAACAATTGTGACCTATTACGCTGGGAAATCCTTGGCACTTTTAAGTTTATTGTTTGCCATCTTTTCACAGATACACACTCTTACTGTAATTTTGTTGGGATAGACTTAGAATGCTGGAGGCATGGGA